CTTTCATTGTGTATGGTTTCTGCTATATTCTACATTTAGTAGAATTTTTGGAAGGATGCTTACTCAAATTCTAGCAAATCAAACTCAAGGAAAAGATCAGCATAACAAATAAACAAATAATGTAAATAACCTTTGCTTTTTAAAATGCAAAACTGTGTTTAAACTGCCTTCTTGTCCAATCCATGACAAGCTTTTCTCAGTGCATTCTTTTCTTGGCCCTGAAGTGATGGCCATACTGGCCTCCTGTTGTTCATCTAACTGTCCTTTAAGGACTTTAACCTGAATTGCTAGTTGATGAATCTGTGTACCTGCGCTTCATTATCACTTGCAGTGTCTTCTGGAAATTGCAGATTCAGAGGTGTTCCCTAAACAACTAGCAGAAACATACAGACTTCCCACTCCCTCCTTCCTTACTGAAAACTCAAGCTAAACAAGCCTCAGGCTTGAATTTCAAGCTGGATTTCTCTCATCTGTTTTGATACAGTATTTATTTCCCCCATAATCAATTTTAAGAAACCTATGCTCTAATGTGCTTGCAAGTTTGAACGACAAATTGCTTAGAGGCAATCTAGAAACATATCTTGACCTACAAGACAAGGAAACTGTGCCTCACTCCCACCCCAAATCATTAGAAAAACAGCACATACTCACTTCAAGTTCCCTCAAAGTACTCGGGAGAAGCTCTTTGTGTAGGAAAGAAAGGAATCAGTCTTTCTTCTGACAATATTTTAGAAGATGAATTAATTTATCTCAAATTTGCTACTAACCCCCCCCTCCTCACACTTAAGTGGCAATTTATATTGTTCTGTATAAAAAAAAAAATCTTCCAATTTTCTTAACCTACTAAGTGAGAGTTACCAAAAAATTTAACCCTACCATAAAATATTTTTGGAGGTTAAATATTTTTGCCAGGAAACGACAGCAGCAGCTTGTGGCTCTGTGCTCCCTATGCACTACTTTGAAGTGACCTGAATACCACCAGTGGTATCTACCTCTAGTCTGGGAACTCCTGTTCTCACTCACTGCTTCTTCCTGACTTGGTGCTGTTAACATAGGGCATTGGTCACATTAAACTCAATAAATACTCAACAAACACTTTGAAAGCAGCCCCTTGATTCATATATACTTGAACAAAGACCTGAGTGAAATGAGTTAACTGCAAATGTGTGCTCTTTATACTTTTTTTTGGTCATACAGATGTAATTAAAAATCAGAGCAGTTCAAACTCTTGCGAGTAAACACTGTATTTTAAAGACTTATTCTGCCTTTTGGAAATTTCCATTGAAGTTTTTATTTGAAAACAAGTTAGTTATTAGTTTATACTGTCCGAAGTAAAAATTCCAAATGAGTGACTTGTGTGAAGCCATATTTTCTTTTGCCAATTTGCAAGGATTTATTCTTTAAAATACAGAACATACCAGGTATGTATGTAGTACAATAATACCCAGGTATTATTTTAGTTCAATGTTGCAAGTGTATTGTAAAAGTGACTGCTTTCTTTGCAATGTTCACTCTCATGTGCATACAATATACTGTTTTAAATTCCTAAGTAAATACATTCATAACTCTCTCAAAACAGTAACCACTGTAGTGCATTTTGTATGATGAATTTTGAGAAAGATTATTTTGGGAAATATTCTTTCAAACAGCTGCTCCAGATAGCAGGTAAAGTATAGAAGCCAGATGGTATCCATAAAGAGAAAGTACCACCACTTCACATCTTGTAATAAAGCTGAAGGCTGCACCCTAATGAACATTTACTGCATCATTGTCAGGCCTTGTTTATTTACATTTTGCAGAACCCAAACTGGCTGTTAGCAAGTGCAAACCTACTTGACAAAGTAAAACAAAAAAGATATTCAGCTTCTCTTGGGATTTTAAATGGAGAAGTGATTGCATCTTTTTTTTCTGGTGAAGACAGAGTTTACTAATGAAGCATCAAAATGTTTGATTGTAATACAGTGATACGTAAATACCTATTACAGTCTAATTGAGCAGATAAATTCCATTTTCAGCTCTACAGGGCAGATTTTAATCTGGCTTCTAGTGCTTTCAGTCTGTTTGTACATACAACAGGGATAAATGTGTTGATTAAGGAAATCTAGACTTAAACAGGGCAGCTATTGCATGTACATCTATAGTACATTATGCATATCTTGATTTATTCCTTTGTATGACAGTTTAATTTTAGGCGTACAGTGTTGTCTAGAGTGCTGCAGCAGTCCCTCAGTACTGGAAGCTGTTAATCTGCGTTTTGCAAGCCTTCCTTTGTCTCCAGGCTGAGGTCCTATTGTATTTTCATCACTTATTAAAAATAGCTGGTAGTATTGCCAAATTAGTGGATTAACCTACTTAAAAAGGAAATTAGGTCAGTTACTATATTCATGCCCAGCCTTCAACTCTCATGTACTGTTACAGCTCTCTTGCATCCTACAAAATGGGTGTCTTCCTGTGGAAAATACTTATCTGCGTGCAGCAATCTGCTTCATCCCACACTCAATACAACACTGAAACAAACACGGTGGGATAAAGGCCCCATCACTTGTTATTAGTCTCTGCTGATACAAACCTCTTGGCCAGAGAAGAAACACGACTTTCTGTAGACTGTTAAGAGGTGCTCCACTAGCAGGTTGTTTGCGACGCTGTCAAATACTTCTGATATTTGAAACACACCTAAAAATCAGACTCCAAAACAGTTTTTGAGGTTATCTTCACCAAAGCACCTAGGAACATCCCTTCCACACCTACCTTACCTGAAACAGAGACTTAGATGAAACAACCACTGACAGAGGAATGCACTTGGCCAACCACCAAACTACTAATCCTCTCTGACCAGAGATCAGGGAGGGAAGGGGTGACAGTACCCTACCTGCAGTAATAGGTCTCGATAGCTATTGTGGCATCTAAAACACTGGGCACACTGGGAGAAAGAAGCAATTCTTCATGCTCTGTGCAACTGCCACTGTCTCAGGCTAGGTGCAAAATGCCAGGCCCAGCTGCTTATCTGCCATGCAACGATCAGGAATGCAAGCGCTCACAAGACGAAAGGCTCAGCGGACAACATGTCCACTCACTCCATCCTCAGCTTTCTGAGTCCTCCTTTGCTCTTGGCCCTTTATTTTTTTCACTACAGTTACTACTTAAAGCGTAAATTCAGAAATGACAATTGTTCATTTAGGCAGGAACATCTGTTGTGCATCCCCAAACAGAGCTCACTCCTGCCTCTAATCACCCACAACTCCCTGTGAGAGCTCCAGGATAGAGCTCTTAAGTCAGTTGCTTTCAGAAAAACTTTCTTCTGCCTCCAATTTCCCCATGCCAAGGAATCCTCATTATTGTCTTCCCAGGAAAAGGACAAGATTGACCTCTAGATAATACACCAAGAGAAAGGCAGAGAGAGAATTACCCCTCTGGCATTTCTCTGACAATTCTTCCTCTCCCAGACCAGTTCACAGTCACTCTCTCACATTCACACTGAGGCAGGAAAATCAACGTGTAGGGAAAACATACTGCAGTTACATGCAACTTAGAGATCTAGGTCTCTGCATCTAGGAAAAATAACTGAAAGATAACAGTATGCTTTTCCTCTTTCCTCTCAGCTTCAAGCTGATCTACAACTAACAAAGAGATTGCAATTTCTGCATATTAATTACACCCCAGGAAAGGAGAGAGAGAGGAAAGAAAGTAGGACAAATCCAGACTGTACAGGGCATTCCTTTCTCTAGCATAATGAGCTGCCACAATTCAACCCTTAGCATTCCTTGGTATCCATTTCTTCTTTCCATGCTTACCCACATGCATAGATATTGCTGAGAAAAGCTGAATCACCAGGAAGTCTAAGATTACTCAAGGAACATGAAAGCTGCTGCAGAACCACCCCCACAAAAGACCATACAGAAAAGCCTCAGGAATCCTCATAAGCACCCTCGTGATTCCTTACTATGCTGCTTTTTAGCATATGACAGAAAGAAAACCTTTTCTGTTTTTTTGGTTTGTTTGGGGTTTTTTTGGGGGGGGGGTGTTGTTTTTTTGTTTGGTTTTTTTTTAGTGTCCAGAGAAGGCAGAGAACGAAGCAGCATACAGCACATACAGACTCTCCCATACCCTTGGGTTAACTTAAAAGAAGTATCTAGGTTACATTAAACAGCATCCTTTACAGTCTCTCTTCTCCATCTTCTTTAGGCAATGCATGGAATACGCAGGCAAATGAACATTCCCAGGGGAGTCCCTGTGAATCCCATTGAGCTGGGACTGACAACTTTTAGATAAAGATTTTTCTTTTCCTGTTTTCCAGGATCATCTCCACACAGGAGCCAACTGAATGTTCCTTAGCTGTGAAGATCTGGATTTTGTTAACATGATGTTGTTGCCTCAACATTCCCCAAAAGAAATGTGCACACTTAAAGAAGTCAATGACAGTAGCAGTAAGCAACATGCAGATCAAAACAGCATTTATCACTTCTACAGCACGTGACATGTCAGCAGGTATTTTTTGTCTGTTAACGCCACAAAGCACAACTAACAAGCAGAAGCAAGTTCCAAAGACATATGCAACCCAATCAGCTCACACAGGTATATGGAATGAGAGATGCCAACTGCAGGATGGACAACCTAAGAATAACAAGATGTTTGCAACATCTTTACTTTTTTCTGGATCATTACAGTTCAAGCAGAGTCACATCCTCATTGCATAATAAACGGTCATTTTGCATTGTTAAATGTCACTCCTCCTTAGAGTTAATAGCTTCAAGAACCAGGGATAATCTTGCACCCAAATTAAATAAATACCTCCACAACAACTTCTTGTTTTGTAGCAACATACTATATCCCTGGCATTTTCCTCATCAGTCAGAACCTAATGCAGACAAACACTGTAAGCAATGAACTTGGAAAAAGGCACCCCACCCTGCCACTCTCAGCATGGGTGGGTAGGCAGGATGTTCAGCTCTTCCCCCACACAAGCAAGGAATGACATTTTGCAGAGTTTATATTCCCTTTACCTTGTAGCAAACATTGCTCTCAGGGAAGAGAAGGTAGCAGCATCTTCTTTCAAAGCCTTCAGCTCATTTCGCAGCTTCATCATTGTCTCCGTAACCATAGCTTTCTCATTTTCATACTTGCTTTTTAAGTTGGCAAGGGCTACCTCTGCAGTCTATTGTTTACCAAGAAGAACAGAAATGTACTAGTTAATGGAACTCTTCACAAAGCGGCTAGCTAATACATTTCTAATCACTATTTGCATAATGAAACATTTACTTTGTACTGGAATGTTAAACTTCTGGTCAACTTTTCTTGTACAGATTAAATTTAATTTTTGAACACTGGAAATGGATTGAACATATGTGTCTCCTACTCCCATTAAGCATGCAGTAGCATCTAGGAAGTTACAGAATATACATTTAGTGACACCTATCTCCAACTAGTAAAAGAAATTAAACTTTACATACTTCAACACAAAGAACAAAATAGTCTATCAGCATTTTGCCTTACATTTTGGGACAGCTTTATTAAAATGTGCAAAAGAAAACTGAAAGTATCTATATATTTCTTAAAAAACACTATACTTTTTTCTTTTTGAAGACAGCTTCAATTTGCACTATTTTAATTGTGGAGGAGACAATGAAGCATGTCACATGGTGTCTTAATGATGGTTATTTTCATCCACTGCACTGCTAATGTGTATCAACTGGCACAGCCCAATCCCCAAAGACTAATTTTACCTTTCACCCCTGTTATTTTGACCATGTTCTTATGTCACATCCTCATCCTGGAAGGCTTTCTTTTATTTTGCAATTTTAGAGAGAACAGTACTTAAGTTTATGAACTCTTTTAAGGGTAACTACTAGAATTCTTTCAAGTAAAAAATAAGATTTACCTCTTCATTTTAGGTGTGTTACATTAAATCCAATCTAATCTAATTCAGACAGGCAGTAGATTGAAGCTACCTTAAACTTAATAAAATCTCATGAGTACGTGACAAGTAAAAATCTGTTAAAGCCCCAGCGCTCAGCTTTACGGCAGGACAGCTGTGTGCTTCTAATTAAACAGCCTGCTTCAGCCTTGTACCAAAAAACTATCAACAACAAAAGCCCCACTGAGTTGAGGGTATGGCAGTATGACCTCAAAGATAAATTCTCTTGTATTTATGACCTAATTCTCAGATACTATAACCTTCACGTCTATAACACCTGGTTACCTGTTTGTTGGCCTTCAGCACAGTTCTCAGAGTTGCTATCTGTTCTCTCTTGGTGCTTAACAGGGACTTCAACTTCAGGATTTCTTCCATGAGAGCTTCCTTGTCTTTATCCACCACTGGCCCAAGTTCTTGAGTGGCAACACGCTGCCTGGACAACTCAGTTGTTCTGTCCACAGCAGCTTGCAGGTGTTTGATCTGATCCCGAATTATAGCGATCAAGTTGTAAATGTTCATCGGTTCCTTCCGAGGATCTGACACAGGAGATGGCAGAGATGAAACTGGAGATGGGCTGCTGTCGCCGCTTCCATTCTCTGCCTTTCCTAGCTCTATAGTTAACAACCCTTTAGAAAGAAGAATGGGAGACCTTCTTCCCTTGGTCTCTGGACTACTGCGTCCACCTTTACCTTCCTTATAGTAATCTAGCATCACTCTGTTTGGAGTTTCATTGTTGCACATACAGACATGGTGGTATAAATTGGCCAACTCTTCGCTGAAGGTGACTAGTTCATCTTGGGCCACACTGAGGCTGCCCTGTGTTTCTCCAGCAACATCACTGACTTTCTTCAGCTCCTTCTCCAGTCTGGCCACCTGTTCTCTGTCATGCCTACTGGATTTTTCTAGTGAGGTAATCTTTTCAGTGAGAGCTTGGCTCTCAGTCTCATACCTGCTCTTCTCTTCCTCATACTTAGACTCACATTCTTTGTATTTGGCCTTAAGATTTTTGAGCTCTTCTTTTAGGTCAGTAATCTCTGCCACAGCCACTTTGTACTTGCACTCCAAGATCTCTGGCCCATTGATGTCAACCTCATAGTAGTCTCCATCTTCATGGCTGTCTCGGTCCTTCTCATTGTCAAGGGCAGACTGACGTTCCTTGCTGACCTGGAGCTTCTTCATTGCGTTCAGGTTTTCTGTGAGCCTGCCAACTTTCTCATGCTGCTCTGAGAGGGCCCCCCGTGTATTTTCCAGCTGCTTCTGAGATTCCTGTAGCGTTGTTAACAAGTTCACCTTTTCTCTTTCCATCTGAAATGCATGGACACAGACATCTACTTAAAGGGAACTGCATCACTTAAATGGTTTTATTGTAAGAGACAGAAACTTAGCCAAGGTCCATATGGCTGCAGAAATCTGATCACTTGCACATTATGGAAAAGACTATTTAATTAATTCTAAAACTATCTCAAGCACAGTGTTCCTTGCCAATTCTTTCTCATTTCCACTTCAAAATGCACATTTTTACACATTTCTTCCATAGCTGATGTTCTCATTGTGAAAACATCCTTTCAGCTGAAGATAAGCTAATGGTTACTGTTACCTTGCAAATTATCAAGTAAATATTAGAAAACATGCAGCTAGTCTATAGTGGAAGCTTGGAGCTTCATGAGAGACTCAGAAATACCAAAACTTTTAAAGTTTCTCCTCTGAAAGTTCTTATTTTGAAAAAATCCAGCGATTTTTTCCACAAAGGCTTTTTCTTCTAGAACACTTAAAAAAAGCTTGACAAAATAACTTTAAAATGTTTCCAGGCAACACAAATATGTACCTTGTTTCGAACTCTCCAACCTCCCAATAGTACAAATATAACACAGAAATACTCGGTACTGATTAAAACTTCATGTTCTTTGAACTAATTACAGAAAATAGTTATGGTGTACCAAACTCCTTTTGATGAAGATGACTGGAGTACTATCAATTTTTGAACAAAATACTATATTTCTCACTAGTGACATACTGACAAACATTTAACATCCTCAAATTTTAAATCAATCAGAGCCTTTACAAATATGGTTCATATTGTATGGTGGCCATGTGAGATATTGAAAAGACTGAAATTACAACCCAAATAAATTCTAGCAGCTATTTGGAAGTACACGTTGTTTAGAAAACCCATTTACCTGTACAAGCTGTTGTTTCAGCTTCTGGATTTCAGAAATGTTTAATTCACTCAGAAGATCTGAAACGAGACTTGGGGCTGGAGGGAAGCTTTCATTTTTCTTGGGTGTTGATGTACTATTCTTGCCATTGCTGAGTTTGCTGAGGCAGTTCTGTTCAAATCCATTCATGATTTCATCATTATTGGGCTCTGTGGCTTCATCGCTGAACTTCAGTCCATCCAAAGAGATGTTCAGGTGGCTGTTGTACATGGAGTCGTTGATGTTCATGTAGTGAGAGAGCTCCTTACGAAGATTGTTCTTCTGCTCCCGCTCTGTCTTCAGCGTCTCTAAGGCCTCCTCAAGCTGGCGTTCGGAGATCTCCTTCAGCCGTATGGCATCTTCTAGCTGGCTGTTGAGAAATTCTGTTTCCTCTTCAAGCCTTTTGATTTCATGTTTCAGGCCTTCAAACTCTACCTGGAGATATACAAACAGAAGGGGAAAAAAAATCCCTAATGAAAATGTCTGCCTGCAAGGCACCAAGTAATTTTACTTTTGAGTGTTTGATTTCACTAAATACGTTAAGAACAGAATAATTTTTTTTTCAGTTCTGGAGTCTAGTTTTGGCACTATGACTGTAAACATTGCTTACATAATTTACCTTGACAGAGACCATGGAATAAAATTTCTACACAAAATGTCAAATTAGCTGATCTATTCTAGCTTAAGACAAGTGAGAGATACAGTGTGTGATACAGAGCATCACAAAACAGGCTTTCCTAGCACATTATGCAAACTCTTTCTCTGTTTGATTAACAAATTCCTTGGCCAACCTTCCCACAAATTCAAGCTCAACATTTCCAAAACCCAGCATTACAAAGCTATGCTTCTGACACTCTGCTGCGCTGCTGTTAGAATATTCCGCTGGGCTTAAAACTGTTGGGATGCACCTAGCAATCAAACTCTGCTTTTATACATTCTGAATAAAATGTTTTATCATTTTTGTCATCATCATTTCAGCACATCTTGAGAAAGCTACAATTCAGACTCTACACTTCAGACCCGTAGTGCTGCTACATGAAATTTGATGGCATGCTATAAGTTTTTAGCTGTAAAATTGCCTTTTTTTTAAACCTCTCTTGCACTGAAATTACAAACACCAATGATTAGTGTAAAATTTTTAATCCCTTGGGGAAAAAACAAAGTCTAAAGAATACTTTTTCCTTACCTTGAAAGAAAGGAAAACATACCACATGATATATGACCCTATTTATTTTTGCCAACTGCTAAAGGAATTTTAGATGCCAATATACACCAGTTTGGTAGTGCTGAACCACACCTGATTTAAAAACCAGGAACCAATCATGTTAATTCAGTTCTGCAAGTTAAGCCTGGAAAAACTTGATGGCTTCTTCTAGTTATGTCAGTAGATAATTAAAGCTTAATAAAATTCATCAAGTAGGATTAGGACAAGGTAGAAAATGAAATAATCCATTGCCATGAAAAGAATTAGCTCTTGGTTCTATATACGTCCACTGAGCTCAAATATTTAAGATTACAGTCTATTTTCAAAGGTTCCAGAATACACACACAGTAGACAATAATTACTAGCAACTGACATGATAGCATCTGAAGTTAAATTCAGCTCAGCCCAGAATGACAGCATTCTTGAATATCATTATTTTGGAATGTGAACATTGAGCTTGGAACTTTCACTTGCTCCTTTGAATACAATGAATGAGACGAAGAAAGGCAAAAACCAAAAGTAACCAACTACATTGGTTGGATTTTAACAGATCACTATCTCATCTAGAGCATAATAGCCCCTCCACCCCTACCGCATGATGTCAGGGCACCCAAACCAGCGTAATTAGACCAAATATATTCAGGTGAGAGCAGGTCCAAGCTGGAACCCCATTTTGGGCACATTAGTGAGGCCAAAGTGATAAACATTGCCATAGAGTTTCACCTGGAGATAAATGAAATACATTCAATATCCCAAACACCTCACTTGGTAGGGCAGCTTTCATTCAGAACACTGAAGGAGTTCTGAAGCAAATCCTAATATGCTTTTGCTATGTGCTCACTATCACAGATGGTATTAACACTGCTGTTTTCTTCAAGAGCTTTTATTTCAGGAATATTAAACCATTTTCTCAACTGAACCTTGAGTTTTATTTATACAATGAAACTGACAGGTACCTGAAGAATAAAAATAGCAAGCCCCCAAGTGATAGATAGATGAAGATAAGTGAACTGTGCCATAGACCACATCTAATCTAATTACCTCTGCAAATGATAACTCAGGGAAATTGAGTTGTTCCAAAAATGCATTTTCTAAAATTCTGAAAATTGCTGGAAGTGTGCAATTAAACGTGACTTTTCAGATGAGCAGTCACACAGGTCTGACAGTATAGAGCAACTATACCACTAATACATGTTTAATTAAAGTAGCTAGAAGAGAGGAGGACTACAGAACTGGAGAGATAATGTAAGCACTAATTAACAGTAAAAATACATGTTCAGAAATACATTCCAGTTACAGATACCGTAGAAGAGGATGGATGGAGAGTATTGCAAAGACACTGAAAAACTAGCGTAGCAACAAGACTAAACCAAATAACAAAGCAGACTGGTAGAGAATTCACTTCCATCAAAGAGAGAGAACACAGTAGAAGGACTTGGAGGTCAAAGTAGAAGCAATAAAGTCTTATGACTGTATAAACAGAGTCAGAAAGAACTTAAACATTTTGGGGCAACTCTTCGTACTAAAAGATAGAGTTTATAGTCTCAAAAGCAGAACAAACATAGAAAAGAAGTGGTTGGATGTTCAAATGAGACAGAACCATGCTGTAACGCAGGAATTAGCTGGTGCTACCAAAGCAATGCTCGCTATTTTGAAAAACTTGCCTGATTTTGCTTGAGGACAGACACTTGTTTCTGGAGACAGATGTTTTCCTCTTCAAGCTCAGTGTAGTCTTGCAGCAAACGCGCTTCTCGGAATTTATATTCCTTAATATCATCTCGCAGACGGGCCCTTTGGATCTCCACATTCTGATTGACCTGGAAAAAACAAACAAACCCCAAAGCAATGGTGATTTGGTCAGCTACAATTAAGTTTTGGAATTTTATCTTTCCTTACATACACTAATCAATTAGATTATATTCAAACAGAAACTCTTCCCCTCTGCCCCCCTGAATGAAATTACAGAAAACCAAGTCATTTACACAATAATTAGATCTTGTTTTCTTGCTTCTCTTACAAATTCTCACCCTTGACTCAAAGAAAAGTTCATGAGCAAGAAGGGAAAGCAGCATTCACACCTATGTTGTCTCACTGGCTGTAAGCAACAGACAAAAGTTTTCCAGATCAGAAGTCAATGCCTGAATCTGTTAACACTTAAACAAGAACGGCCCCTTCACAAGAGAAAGACAGATTCAGATTACTCCAGACGTTCTTATTTGGACATGTATTTGCTGCTGCTTTTCAACAGACCTTTTCTTTATGCCCAGTGCAATAATTTGGAAATATGTTTCAATTAATCCTTTTGGAGAGAGACACTGAGTTAAAGCTCAAATGAAATCCAAGATCCCAGGTAGAAAGAAACAGCAACTGTGGTTGACTTATAAAATGTTCCCTCCCCTCAGTCCCAAGACTTATGCAAGACCTTAAAGAAAGACTTTTAAAAAAATTTTTTTTAAAAATCACCATTATTGTTTCAGGATAGAACAGTAGTAAAAATCAATATATTGGTGTAATATGATCTTTAGATCTTTCATGAATATACACAGACACTTAAATAAATTGAGCTACCACATATCCAGCTAGGTGAATGGCTTGCTGTACTTAGCTCTTATTTTTTCCAACATTATTTTCCTGCAAGCCCACATCTTTAAACACTTAATTGAAACAAAGTGAAAAATATGTTCTAAAACATTAGCAGAAATATCTTCAGAGATAGGCAAATAGGCAATATAGTTGCCTACAAAAGCAGTATCTGGATATTTTAGCAGCTGTTATCTGTGAAGTGACAGGATGGTTTTCCAAACAGTTCTAAAATCAGCACAAAACAAATGCGAGCTCACGAAAGAGGCAGCCTGTCGATTCAGCCAGTTAGGTTATAGTATCTTATTTCTGTTTTCATCTATCCAGCAGCCTAGCCAAGAAAGCTCCATCCTCTGGTATACAAGCTCAAGATTCCCTTAGTGTTCCCCACTTCTGGTTAGAAAACAGAATGTCAGCAATGACTAAAATATGGTCTCAGTCCTCTTGTGAGTGTGCAGCGGGAATACACAGAAGTAATACAACACAAGTATCAACAGGCACCTACAGAAAGCTAAGAGATAAAGGAAATGTTTGCGGCAGGAGCATATGCCAAGACTTGAATCTGGCACGTTCTGAACACAAAACCAGAATCACCTGCAACTGTTAAGACCAATAAATTTAAATTACAGCTCCCTCACATGTCAGGTAAAGATTAGACTATATAAACTTGTCTCCTTATTTTTAGCAATGAAGAGAAGAGCACTGCTTCCCAGCACACTGAGAAGCTAAACCAAACATTAACTGCTGAAACCAGACACTATAGTACAACAATGCAAATGAAAAGTTACTACGTTCCATGCCTGAGCAAGCATTGGCTCTATCTTTGCACAAACCCAGAGCTACAGGGAAAGATGCGCTGTAAGTAGCTGAAGGCTACAGGATGACATGAATTCACATCTTCTCCTTAACAACTGCAACAAAGACAGACCTCTTGCCTTTGGCAGAAAGAGCCTCCAGCCAGATAATTCAAACTGTTTAACAGTTAGGATTGCAAAAGGCTCTTGCATCAAACCGAGTTTCATACAAATTAGGAGATCCTATCTGTAATTTTCCCCATTCCCAAGTAAGTGAAATGCAATGGGAGACCTCCCACAAAGCTACTGGCAAGCTTCTCTCCCCACCATTCAAGGTTGCTTTGCCCCTCTTCTTCCCTGGATGATCTAATCTTTGCAGAGGTCAATGCCTGGAGAAATCATTGGAGCTGGTCTTTTTTGAAGAAAGAACGGTTTCTGTCCAATCCTCCCCATTTAATTCAGAGCAACAGTAAGAGCTCATTATTTAATGTGAAAGTATTGTCATGCTCTGTCTAGCACAAGAAAAACCATTCTATTTCAATGTGTACAGGAAGGCCAGATTTAAAAATAGCTCCCTTGTTTCCTGACCAGGGAAGGAAGATACAACCTAGATTTATTGGCTGTTTAACAAACTGTACATTCAGTTTGCTCTTAGCATTTTCTTGTCAAATAAATGTGCATTCTTGCAAGCTGCAAGGTTAAACTGGGCGCCATGCTATCTCATATAACTGACCAAGTGGCAGGACTTTTTCCTGCAGGAAGGAGAAGCTACTGCATCCTTCCTTCATCAGATTTTTCTATTACCCATACAGAAAGTGGTATTTGTGTATTTTAAGATAGACACACATACACTGCACATGTTCTCACAGGTGTTGTTTTACAATTCCGCAAGTCTGTAGAAAAGGTGAGCTGACCTACTGATGAGTTTGAGCCTTTCTGTGACTCTTGCTGCTTCAGGGGCTTAGTGGCTTCTTCCTTCCTCCTCTGCCCTGAGCAACCCCTGAGCACAGGGGAGAAGGGGGAGCTGGAACCCAGGGGTATGCCTGGCTAGGCTCTCAGCTATACACAGTCACACCTCCACCCAAAAAGAATCACACAGCACTTTAAAATATCATTACCACTGCGTGGAGATTTGATGGCCATTGAGCATTCATCTACCTGACAAAACCCCTCAACTTCTCAACCTAGAGAACATGCCTGCTATGCAGAAGCCTCCCATCCATCCCGCCCAAGAAAAGACTGTGATCTGATTTTGCCTGATCTAAAGGCCACAGACCGCCCTGCTCCTGCTGCTAGAGAGCTTGTCTTCAGTATTTTCACCCTCTCAGCTTTGCCTCAGAAGCGTTCTGCAAGGGGCCCCTCTGAGCAGCACCAGTGCTAGAAATGGCAAGGATTTCCTCAGGACCAGTTTGAATTGCCCAGGCCTGCATGTCAAAAACACAGCTACTGTCCTTCATCACTGCCAAAAGCCTGCTCCTTAGCACCTACTTTTCTAGTACACCCCAGCATATAAAGTTACATATAATTTGACCCTGAGAATTAAAATAATTGAGAAGAAAACCTCAGGTAGCTGATTCCCTCCTTTGTTTTGGGCACTGCACAGCCTGACCAGAGTTCAGCCTCCAGATCACCAGCCAGAGGCTGATCTTGCAAGCAAAGCTGTGTCACTAGCACAGTTTCTGTTACCTTGAACTCCACCAGCTCATGAGGTCACGGGTCAGTTCAAGTTCCCCGCTGTAGTACACATGCTCACACCTAATTTTACATGTCATTATCATCATCAAGAGTCAAACCTTAGTTTGCCCAAATTTATTACAAATTCTAGGATTAGATTTAATGCTTCATGCAATAAATATTTCTAGATATGATCATTCGCTTGTGTTCTTCATGGGAAGGATTCACAAAAAAGGATGCAGACTCTTTGAAAGACATACAGTGCAGTCAGAAAGGATGGCAACTCACATATATTCTGTTGCTGTGGGGAGAAGAAAATCAGAATCATAGAATCATTTAAGTTGGAAAAGACCCTTAAGGTCATAGAGTCCAACACTACCAACCTAACACTATTGATTATTTTGGTGGACTTGGTAAACATAATCTCTTAGACATTTTATTAATTGTCAGCATGAAAATTGGGAAGACTAATCCTCAGACACGTAACTTAGTGCCTTCTTTGGCACTTTTTTGAACGAGGCGCTTGAGCCAATGTTTTTCTGAACATTGCCTTCATACTCACAGATGTCACTCCAGAAGAGCCTACCTCAAAGCTACATCTACCCTAGGTATCAATGGTGAAATTAAGAACTCAAAATATGGACCATAAAGTTTTTCTATGCACAAAAAGAAAACTTCAGGTCAATCACTAGACATTAACACAACTAACAAGTTACATTATTTAGGCTACAAAGACTGGCAGTTGCAAGTTGTGTGTGAAATTCACAGCTGCCCATCTGATTTTAATTGCATTTCCTTTGCACATGTGAGGACTGGGGTCCTATGGCAAAGTATCACATAACTGTGTAATTAAGGGCTGGGATATAAAATACTCCAAGAACAGAGCTGAATTAAGATTGCATAAGAAACAAAAAATAACCTTCCCTTAGCTCTGAAGTTACAGGCTCCTAAACATATATATTTTTTTCTATTACAGATATTAAACAAAATACTAATATTTGAGAGGAAAAAAAATTAAAAGTTCCATTAGATCCAACTGTTTACTATAGATCAGCAAAAGGTTTGGAGACCTGAACTTTCACTACTGCAATAAAGATCACCTGTTTGACAAGGCTGTTTGCAATCCCTGGCAATGGGCAAATCCTTCTGGGGTGGAGAGGCAGACCAGCAGCCATGGGTGGCCAGCAGCACCTCCTGACGATGGCCTTCTCTCTCTCTCATCTATCCTCAGATGCAGGAGCTACAAGAGCTTCTAATTTTTACAATTTTGCCCACTCTGTTCGTAAAATAGAAGAACTATAAAATAATATTAAAACATTTTATTTATTTATTCATGCAAAGGAGAAATGCCACAGTGGCCTGGCTCTGCTTCCTCATTGACAGGAGAAACTGCCTCCAGTCACACCTGCACCTATGTTATCATGTGTGCACACATATTGGTACAGCATAAGATACTCCTTTGTATGAGGAAAGACTCATAAATAAAAACACCTGTAGGTACCATGGCTCACGCAACCTCAAGTTGGGAAAAGAAACAATTTTATTTCCCGTATAACCCGTGTATAAAATTCAGGCTGTATCACAATACACACACATATCCCACACATTGAATACTGGGAAATGAAAACAAGTCTGGTGGAGACTGACAGCCAGGCACAGCTATACATATATGTGTTTTTTATATATATATATATATAAGAACATGTAACAACTACCACGCCAAACTTGTGTTTATGACATTTGTTCAGCATTCAGCTATTCTCACTGAC